GATGGTAGGATGGCCCCCTAATCACAGGCTCAGGGGCTCAGTCCGCTGAGCCAGACAGCACCCCTAAGGAAACGCTTTCCATTAAACTAAAACCCAAACACACACAGAAAGTGAACTAAAATGAGCACAAACTGAAGGTGCAGTGCTGCCCCCCCCCGCTTTCCCCAGCTTTCCTCCAGCACATCCCCCCCGTCCATCTAGCCGATCCTTAAAAGCCCCCACGGGATCGGCAGCCTAAAAATGGTCAGCTGAGTTTGACTGGCTGCGATACCTGTGGTTAAAACTGACCAAACGCTGCACTTGGGCTGTTACGCTGCCATCTATAGGCTCACACAGGCTATGCGATACTCATACTCATACTCATACTCATAATCATACTCATACTCATACTCATTTATCTAACACAATCACGCTACCCAAAAATAATCATTGCACCATCAGTGCAATCTGAGATGCTTTATCATTACAAACGTTAAACCGTCATGATGAATGAATGAAAAGCAGACTTTCATCTTTTATCTGACCGTTTCTCACACGGACTGTTCACTCAGTTTGCCGCCGCAGTTTCAGTTCAGACCCTTAATGGCGCGTATGGACGGCGTTCATATGTGAGGACGCAGTGAGGACGCAGTGAGGCTTTGGCTCACTGGAAGCTAAAAGTGTCAAGTAGTGAGTGTCTTACAGGGGTGTCACTGAGTGCCTGCACTGTCACCATCTAAGAATAGCTTAGCCCATACATGCGACACCAGGAAGAGAACAGGAACGGCCAGTTCAGGCACAGGAGCAAATGTATGATGACAGGCAGTGGTCCCAGAGCCAAAACTGCCCCACTGCCCTCCAGGGAAAAAGACTGACTTTCTCATAATCATAGGCCATAGTACAGTAATGCTACCTGTAGAAAATAGTAATATCCCAGTATCAAATATATTACACTACAGTGTATACTGGGTTTGACTGTTGCTATGGAGATCTGGCTACTGTAAAGGACCCTAAATGTGCTGCTGATCATTACCAATACGCAAGGCTCTATCTGACTGATTCAGTGTGCAAGGATGGATGCGGATGTGGGTCTGAAGCTGCCCCCAATCCATGCGGTGGGGGGGGGGGGGGGGGGGGGGGGGGGGTTGTGCCCCTTTCTGTAAGAACACTTCCTCCTACATTCCAGGTTGTACTCAGAGGTGGAGATTTCAGGTAAGGAGAGTACAAATCCAGACCAAGATTACTCTGTTACTGTGACTCTTT